CAGGGGGGTTGGAGATTCATGATCCTTGAGGTCCCTTCCAACCCTGGCAATTCTGTGATTCTGTGATCCCACTTCTCAGTGAGAGTCAGTTTGTCTCACAGAATCATAGAATAGAATCATAGAATCCCAAAGGAGTTCGTATAACTTCCTGCATGCATTTGCACATGGCAGGAACGTACTTCCTTGCTATAAGAAATGCTCACTGTCACAGTGATCTGCTGCAGAAATCATACAAGCAAATCCAAATTTCCCGTGCACCAGCCCATAGCAATTTGCTCATTTCCTCCCCCTGCAATCAGATATGGAAAGCTCCAAATCAAAAGTGCTCTGGTGGGTTTGCATCAAGGTGGAGTCTCTGGGAAGGATTTAAGGAGACAGATAGAGAGATTGTGCCCTATATCTGCTGCCTGGCAAAGTACTGCAGAGCTCTTCTCTATCAGTATCCTGCTTCCCCAGCTGAGAGCTCTGCTGCTTGTTGGATGCCACCACCCTCTGGCACAGCAAGCAGCACACATTGGAACAGTTGATGCAGTACCTGCAAAACCCTCTGGTCTCGTTATCAGAGCAAAGCCCAGATGTGCAGCTGAGACAAGAAGTCAGGCTGAGATACAGCAGTGAAAGCAGGATGAAGCATGAGCACAACAGAGCAGCTGCCCAGAGCAGCAGCTTGTTTGCACCTGTACACTTGTCTTTTTATAGCTGCTGACTGTCATCCCCGCAGGTAGTGCAGACATCAGTGACACCGTCAGTCTGATTATTTACTACAACAAAGACAGAAGTTCAACTTGATTAGCGTTTCTGGATTCCACAGTGCTTGGCATAAATGTTTGCTTAATGCATGAGTCAAAAATATCCTCAGAAACTGAAAATTAGGGATAGTCAATTGCTTGCTGCTGTGCACCAGTGTTTAAACTGGGGTTTCCATAGCACCAAATGGTGTGTTAGATCATTACACCAAAGAGCTGAATGAGAAGCAGCTTAAGTGTGAAGTGTATGGAGGGCAGAGGGTTCTTCCTGTTTTTCATCTGACCTCCTGACCTCCTCACTTCAATTTCTGCGCAGATCTTGGTGGGTTTTGGTTTCCCTCTCACAAATGGGGCTACTCAGTGAATTACAGACACCATTTCAACGTGGCCTGCTTGTTTAGACAAGCAATTATGTTTTATCACTGAATTAAATGAATCAAGCATTAGCTAATGAAAGATCTGAGAACCTGCTGTGGCGATTCAAAAATCAACCCAATCCAATTGCAAGTGTGAAATGAGGATTAAGAGCAGTTCCCATATTCTTGATGCAGTCAAGTAAACACATCAAGAGGACTTTGCATCAGCAAGACCCAAACACCTGAGAAGCAACTAAGGAAAGGAAGGGAGTAGGAGAGAGCAATTACTGCTAAAAAGGATGCTTGAGCATGGTGATGGCTCTGATGGGTTCGATTAAAAGTCAAATGTGATTAATTTGAGCAATTTGATGGGCAGAGAAGTGTCATAGAAGGGTCTGGTATGTCCTGGTGTGACTGCTGGTCTCACTGCGTGACATCAGGTTGCTCAAGGCCTCATCCTGGAACATCTCCCAGGACACAGATCCCCACTGGGAACAGCTTCCCATGGCTCATGCCACAAGCAGTGCACCCACAGGAACAACCTATGCTGATCCTGCTTTCCCCTTTCACTTTCATATAAGCAGCTATAAGTTTTCCAACCAAAACATTCTGGCTACAGAAGACTGAAGTGTCAAGCAACATGCTTCTCCTGAAGGCACAGTCATTACGAACAGCAGCATTTCACACTCCTAAGAGCAAAACACTTCCAAAATTATTCCAAAAATATTCCAAAAATATGATTCCCGCTTATTGCAAAGCAGGTTGTGCTGTCCAGGTTGATTTAAAAGATTTCACGGAGGTAACAAGATAAAATTTTAACAGTGAAAGGAGGAAGAAAAGATGTGTTGTTCTGAACCACTCTTCCTCCTGTGGAGGCATGCAGCCACGATGACAACAGCAGATAATGTCGGTACTGAGGGATGTGTAGTTGATTATGGCAAGCTGTTGATTGTACGAAAGCTTCTCTGATGCATGGCATTATCAAATGGCTGCAAATCTGCACTGAAATTGAGGAATTTAGGAGTCCTCACCCCAAAGAGCAGCGGGTCTCTCTGTATGACACTTCTGGTAACTCACAGCCTTTAGAAGAAAACAAACATTGCATGTGATTCCTACCCCACCAACACCAGTCCTGCTGCCTTTCACCAAGATAAGATCACACAGATCTAGAAGGCTGAGATTGATACCCACGATTGAAATGGAGCACAGCAATAACTCTCCAGCCACGCTCATCAGATCTGAGTGCCTCTTAGATAGAGTTAAGACTTTACCTTGCAGCACCAACATTACTGTGTTACCACCTCTCCCCACAAAACCCTCAGATGTTCGACACCCAGACGGTGGTATCCACACTGGGATTTGATCAGCAGCATAAAAAGGCAGCAGAAGCACACAGGGCACATGTCCAGAGATGTCAGAGCTGCTCATCATGCTTAGGAGATGGAGTACACAGCAATAAGGCTCTACAGAGCATCTCAGGCCCAAGATGCTCTCCCCACATCCATCTACAAAGTCCTTCCTTTTGAGGAATGGTAAGAAGTGGGGCAAGGTGAGCTGTCCTGCTCTTCAAGCTATCTGATTTTCTGCCCTGCTCTTCAGAGGCATAAGCCATTCAAAGCACTTCCCAAGGCATTCAGGCTTCCAAAAACGCCAGTCCAGCTGGCAGCTTACGCAAAGACTCAGAGCTCAGCAACTCATTCTTTCCCCCATGGATAGAGGGAATCACTAAGCTTGCCCTGTCACGTTCAGACTGTGTCCCCCATCCTGCTCTCCCCCATGCATACACAGCACTGCTCTAACCCCTCATTCACCATCGCCAACATTCTTTCAAACTGCTAAGACTCCTAAATCCCCCCAAAATTGGCCTGAATAAGAAAGCCTCAGTTCCAGCTGGACTGCTGTGAGCACTATAATCTCTGCAGTGGGTTCCTGCGCTCAGAAATGACTGGTGCTGCAGCTCCTGGGAGCTGTGGCAGCTGAGCCCAGAGCAGCCTGCACATTTCTCTCCCTTCATCTGTAAGGGAAAGTTGCCAAGAACAACACAAGACATGTGTGGGCACAGCCAGCCACCAGCACCGTGCTGTGCCAACGGGGCTGCTGCTGGCTCCAGTGGCCTCAGAGGATTTACAGCACACGGCATCCCTCAAATGCTTCCAACCCTGCAATCTTGATTGCTCTGTCAGAACCTTGAGGACTTCTCAGCTGGAAGTATAGCCTGCGCTGCAGCCTTGCTACGGGTGGCTTATAAATCTCTGCATGTGAGGAGTTCTTTCATTTTACAGCTGCTACAGAGTCTGTGAAATCCTGGATTTTGTAGTACAAATACTCCAACCGGCAATAAAACGTGAGAGCTGTTTTATCAAACAAAAGTTCCAATCATTGGTGTTTATAGCAAATGAGCCAGGAGTCAGCAAAGGGAAATGCGAGCCATCCTTAGCTCTGACCCCACCATACGGTCCCTTGCCCACTAACCTCCCTGCTCATAATTGCATTCACTAACAGAGGGCCAAAAGGAAAAAAAAACACAAAAAACAAAAACAAAAAACAAATCCAACTTGTGTTAGTGTAATCTGTGCCTCAGCCTTTCCAGACATAAAGCAGGCCTTCCTAATGAGCTAGAAAAATCAAACCATTTACCTCTTCTGAGGTTTAAATCTCTTCCTTGTGCCCCTAGGTATGAGCAAGGCCAGACAGAAGTAGCTCTGCAACAATAACAAACAAAGCTAAAAACAGAATGTACTCTGGAAGGGAGAAACAAATGAGAGAGGCTGAGCATAGGATGTCTGTCTCCAAAAAGGATCTGCAATGAAAACCAAAACCGAGCGCCTTCCTTCCTGGTCAATGGCAGCAGCTGAGCAGGTATCAAATCACTTTTTATTACTGAGAAGAGCAGCATTTGTTTAAATAAAAATAGTAGCAGCAAGTTAATAAGTGCTCCTGCAGTGTCTGCGGCAGCACATGGAAATTACCAGATAATCTTTAGTTCATGGGTCATTTGTAGAAGGGTGCAACAAGTAGAGACTCTGCTTGTGCAACATCAACCTCAGATGCTGCAGCAGAGTCCCCAGACACAAGGTGACTGTGTGTGTGCACAGAAAGGCTGCAGACCCATACAATAACCCAGCTTCTGGCAAATCCTTTGTCACAGGCAAGTGCTCAAAGTTGAGCCTAAGTCAGATGCTTGCAGCCAGCAGCAGCCTCAGAAACCTCAGAAGGCTGCAAGCTCAATATTCCCTGGCTCTACTTTTAATCTTGCAGCTGGGGAAGATCCCTGTTGCTACGTTACCTGTGTTGTGGGTCCGGAGCAGACAGCAGATCTCACCCTGGAACTTGCTGAGCAGCTCAGCAGGACACAACCAATGAGGTTTTAAATCCATCACAGCAGCTGCAGCAGTCACACAGGAGTGCTCCCCTTCCTGCTCGTATCAACTTTCCCCTCTTCTCCGGTGCTTGCCTGCAGCTCAGAGACATCCTCTGAGTTCACTCACCCCAGAGCTTCCCGCAGCCCTGGCACAGTGCAGGCAGACAGGTGAAGAAGTA